GGGGCCTTGGGGTCAGCGCCACTCCAGCATAGTAATAATATGTGGAGCGTTCCAAAAATAGCTTCGTCTTCGAGGATATAATCGGTCATCATCTCTTCCTCGGCGGAAGGCGGCGGAAGGGCGGCGGAAAGTCCGGCGGAAATACAACGAGGCCGCCTCCGCCGGCGGAAGCCGGTGGAAGCTCGGCGGAAGCCGGCGGAAGCAAAAGTCGACCTCCCAAGAGATGACAACATTTTTGGGTTCAGGATTTCTGGAATCGGCCATGTGTGCGTCGCCGCTCTGGGGCGACGCGCGCGCCGAGAAATCTCATAGTATGAGTTCCGTGGCGGACGCTTGTTGGCCATGCCGCTCGGGAAACTACTACAAGGCAGGGGTCGGCCTAAACGGTATTTTGGCGATTTCGTGGGCCATTTGCGCTTCGATTTCGTTTTGCAACAAAGGCGGATTGCAGACAAAACGAGGGACAGCGAAGACAAAACGAACACGACAAACACCGTGTAGGTCGACCCTTGCTACAAGGGTGGCTGCTGTATTGTGTGTTCGTCTCGGACGCACGCCTCCAAGCAGGACGTATCGTTAAGTCGGGCCTGTCCCTGTACAGGGGGAATATTCTGTTATAGTCAAAATAGTCTGGGAACGATTTTTTGCCTACTTTTGAGCATGCTTGGGGGCTTTTTTGGGGCATTTTAAATTTTTTGTCCAAAATCCCCCTGTAAGGGGACAGGCCCGACCTAAACATATCGCACTACAGTCAACCATGATAGCAAGGTTGGGCAACCTTCCCAAGGGTACCCTTGCATCCTTGCCTCGTCGGTCCATCCTTGGCCACTTTCGTTGACCGCGCCCCGCCCGGAAAACTTCGAAATGGGAGTCCAATGCCCTTGCATACTTATCGCGCATCCTTACTATCCTGGTCGAGTGTAGTACGTCCTCGTGCGTCCTACGGGGCCTCCGGCGAGGGGGCTGTCGTGCTTTTGGCCCGCGCTCTTGGTGCCGCGCAGCGGCTGCAAGGGCCACTCCGGCCTCTCGAAGCACGGGGCCCCTCTTCGAATGAGGGGGTCGACAGCAGAATGGATCTGCCCCAACCTCGGGCTTTTCGCCGAACCCATGAGTCACCGAGCGCGTTCCGCTACTCGCAAAGTGCCTACTCGCAAGCGTCCGAAAAACATATGTCTGCGTCGATGCAAATTATCGTAGGTCCCCCGCGCCGGATCCAGGTCATTTGCGAGTAGATACTTTGCGAGTGGTGGAACGCGCTCGTCCAAACAGAATCGATCTGTCCCAACCTTTAGGTGATTCGCCGAACCCATGGCACGTCCTTGGATCGATCTTGGGGCGAGTCGGCTCTGCAGTCGATTCCCTGCTCGACCCAGACAGGCTCCTCGGGCGCCTCCAGGGTCCTCCTCCCCCCCCCACGGGCGCTCTGGCTGTGCATCCGGGCGCGGTCGAGGCCCAGGGTCAGGGGCGGCGCTCGGGGCGCGTCGCGGCGGCTGCGCCTCGCCGAGAGGCGTCGGGAGGCGTCCGCGATCGCTCTGAGCGGCCGCCGGAGACCCGAGTTCTGACCCGACGTGTGGTCGACGAGGATCACTCGGGGGCAACGTAGGGAGGGAGTGGAACAAAAACACACAGACGTCACAAACAAGCGCAGATCCCCTGGGAAGTACCATTAGGACAATCAGGCAGGTGTGTGTGTGGGGAAGATGAGAACCAAGAACGTATCGAAACATGTGGGGAAGCCTTGGATCTGTACTTATTTATTTGTGTGAGGCCCAGGGCCCCCTTCAGTAGGGGGGATAGGCTCAGGGCATCGACCCCCAATCGCCCAGTGATCGCCGATAGCGATATGGGGGCCGATGGCCCAACCCGCCCAGGAACATGGGATTCTGCCATCGGGGCCCCATCGCCGATGTATCGCCGATTCCAGCTCAACGTTGCCCCCTGGGCCAGTCCCTCTCCTCCTCCTCCTCCTCCTCCTCCTCCTCCTCCTCCTCCTCCTCCTTCTCGATCCTCCTCCTCCTCCTCCTCCTCGATCCTCCTCCTCCTCCTCGATCCTCCTCCTCCTCCTCCTCCTCTCCTCCTCCTCCTCGATCCTCCTCCTCCTCGATCCTCCTCCTCCTCCTCCTCGATCGATCCTCCTCCTCCTCCTCCTCGATCCTCCTCCTCCTCCTCTCCTCCTCCTCGATCCTCCTCCTCGATCCTCCTCCTCCTCCTCTCCTCCTCCTCCTCGTCGATCCTCTCGATCCTCCTCCTCCTCCTCCTCCTCCTCCTCCTCCTCCTCGTCGATCCTCCTCGATCCTCCTCCTCGCCCCTCCTCGATCCTCCTCCTCCGCTCTCCCCCCGACCCAGGAGGAGCGGGCGGCCGAGCCCGCGGAGGCCGAGGCGGAGCTCGCCCCCGCCGCGGCCCCGCCGCTGCGGCCCCCCGCGCCCCCGGGGCCGTGGGCCGAGCAGGCGGCGCCCTCCCCGAGATCCGGCGACGACGCGGCGCGCTCCCAGATCTCCGACGATGTCTGTTTGTCAGCCTGCGATCTCCCCTCCCCCCCCTCCTCCTCCTTCTCCTCCCCCTCCTCCTCCTCCGCCTCCTCCTCCGTCTCCTCCAACTTCTCCTCCGCCTCCTCCTCCTCCTCCTCCTTCCCTCGTCCTCCTGCTCTTCTTTCCTCCTCTCCACTGCCTCATGTTACGATGGTTTTGCTGACGCGGCCGTTTGGGCCATTCGATGCGTGATAGAACAGGGCGTGTCTGCAGCCGCATGCCGGATACGTGCATTAGGGCAAGTTCGTATCATCCGTTATCTTTCTGTTGTGTGTTTCAACCGACGTGTTCTTTTGATTTCAGCCCTCGGAGGCTGTTTTCGGTCCTGGGGCGATCGATCATGGATCTTGGACGGAGGGCTGCCGTGGGCAAGGGGTTTCAGTTCTCTGGGGCCGCGGCTTGAAGGAACCAGGTCGCCGGATGTTTGGGATTGCAGCGACGTGGGAACCGTGGCCAGGGAGACTCCTCCTCTGGGGGTAGCCTTTCGGCCCCGATCCGTTCTTGAGGCCCCCGGGGCCCGAGCACGGCCTCCCAAGTCAAGACATTGAGGACGGACACCGCAAGCGAAAACACTCATCGGCGGCGAGCGAGGGGGGGGAACGAGAAGGAGAAGGCCTTCTCAGAATGCGGTGGGACTTCTCAAAAGCCCTCGCGCCTTCTGAGAAGTTTTTGTTCTTCGGGGGAGGCTTAGAAAACTTCTCAGAAGGCCGGGCGACTTCCGAACCTTCTGAGAAGGCCTTCTCCTTCTCACTTCCCCCGCTCGCTCGCCGCCGAACTTACCGTCGGATGTCTGAGTTCTCCGGCATCCGACGTCGTATTTTTTTTAGCGCGGATCCTGGTGGTCTGGACCCCTCCCGAGGAGCGACTTCTCCTCCTGGGCTGTCTCTCGACGGCCTCGGGGCCCCAGCAAGGGCCCCCTTGAGGCTGGAGAGGTGCAGAACTTTCCTCGTCCTCCTCCTCCTCCTCCTGCCCCTCCTCCTCCTCCTCCTCCTCCTCCTCCTCCTACTTCTCCTCCTCCTCCTACTTCTCCCCCGCCTCCTCCTTGATCCTCGATCCTCCTCCTCCTCCTACTTCTCCTCCTACTTCTTCTCCTACTTCTTCTCCTCCTCCTCCTCCTCCTCCTCCTCCTCCTCCCCCCGCCTCCTTTTCCTCCTCCTCCTCCCCTCCTCCTCCTCCTCCTCCTCCTCCTCCTCCTCCTCCCCCCTTGTCTTCTCTTCCCCCTCCTCGCTTTCCTCGTCGTCGTCATCGTCGTCCCTCCTCCTCCTCCTTCCTTCGCCTCCTCCTCCTCCTTCTCCTCCTCCTCCTTCTCCTCCTCCTCCTCCCCCTCCTCCTCCTCCTCCTCCTCTTCCTCCTCCTCCTCCTCCTCCTCTTCCTCCTTCTGCCCCCAGACGCGAGATCGGCGCTAGGCTCCTTCCTCCCTGGCGTGCAGGGCGCGCGAGAGACGGCGCTGGAGGCGCCGTCACGGGGGGCCTAGCCACGATCCAAGGAATCCAGCGGCTCTCCGAAAATTTGTGCTCAAGCCGATTCTTCTTCTCCCTCTCTTCTTTTCCCGACCATCCTGTGGTGTTGGGTCCTCGTTTTGAAGAGACAGTGCCCCGCGTCCACTCCTTCCTTCCTCCTCTCCTCCTCCTCCTCCTCCTCCTCCTCCTCCTCCTCCTCTTCCTCCTCTCCTCCTCCTCGTCATCATCATCATCATCATCATCATCATCATCATCATCATCATCATCATCATCATCATCATCATCATCATCATCATCATCATCATCATCATCATCATCATCATCATCATCATCATCATCATCATCATCATCATCATCATCATCATCATCATCATCATCATTATCATCATCATCATCATCATCATCATCATCATCATCATGATCATCATCCGTAGCCATTTTGGCTCAAGCGGCATTGCCCTGTCGGGTTGGGTCCGTCTCTCATGCCCTCATGTGTCGGCGAGCCCGCCCAGCTCCTGGCTGCTTGCCATGGCTCGTGCTTCAGGCTGCTCTGCGAGGCCATGCAATGCGACTACGTTGGCGCGACGGTCACAGCCCGTGCTGCCAAACGGGCAGGCCTGCTCACCCCGGAGATCGCTCGCAAGGTCGAGAAGATCGACATCGCCTTTGCCGTCATCCGTCAAATCAATGCCATCAAGTGCGATGCTCTGGTTGATGAGGTTCGCCGTCAGCTCTCCGAGCTTCCACATGATCGTTTTCTTTCCGAGGTTCCTCCCAGCGGGCGTCAATACGTTCGAAGGCATGCAGATGCTGACGAGCGTGTGCTTCAAGAGGATGGTAGTTCGGACCCTCCTGATTTTCCTGGCGAGCGAGGTCTTCAAGATGATCGTGATATTCCTGGCCTCCCTCCCTTTCCACACCTTGGTGCTGCTGAGTTCTACATCGGTGACTCTTTCGCGGAGGTCGGGACACAAGCACCGTTGATGCTGTACCATTGGATCGGTGTTGACCATGATATACAGACTTCTCATCGTGATCGTGATGACCTTCCACCTGGGATTCCTGGTGTTCTACAAGGAGATCTTCGTGATAACCGTGTGGACCATCCAGCCGAGCTTCCTGGTGATCTTCACGATGACCGTGTGCATGCAGCTGCTGACGAGCTTCCAGATGGCCCTGATGTCCTTCCCATTGGTGGTGGTTCAGACCTTCCTGAGTTTCCTGGAGAACCTTTTCTTTCCGAGGTTCCTCCTGGTGGGCTTCAAGCCGTTCGTGGGCATGCAGATGTTGACGAGCTTCGGTGTGCTTCCTGATGATGGGGTCCATATCAACGTGCGGGCCAAGAACGCTCTGTTTCGCCAGATTGCCGAGGCAAGGTCGCAGCTGCAGGCCCTTGGCCGTGAGTTCACACTGTTGAGCCCTCAATGGATGCCAGACGTGCCGAACTCGACGTGGCGCAGGCGAAGCTGGCTTCGTTCAAGATCTCCGCGGCGTCCTGCTGCTCTCCCTGACGATCTATGGTCTCGTCATTGCGCTGGTGCTTCTCTTCACGAAATCGCTCATCAAGTGACGTGGGCGCCCCGAGCGTTCGGACGCAACGTGTTTGGAGGGATGAGGGAGTGGGAAATCATCATGCTCATCATCATCATCATCATCATCATCATCATCATCACCATCGTCATCGTCATCATCATCATCGTCATCATCATCATCATCATCATCATTATTATCACCATCATCGGCATCATCATCGTCGTCGTCGTCCTCGTCATCACCATCAGTCTACTCATCACCATCACCACTATCAGCACCATCGTCATCATCATCGTCATCATCATCATTTGCATCGTCATCATCATTGTCATCCTTCCCCTCTCCCTCCTCATTGTCATCATTCGCATCATCAGCTTGGTAATAATCATCGGCGTCGTCATCATCATCATCACCAACACCATCATCATTATCATCATCATGGTAATCATCATCGTCGTCGTCATCATCACCATCGTCATCGTCACCATCACCATCATCATCAGCATCGCCATCATCACCAGTATCATCAGCAACAACGTCGTCGTCGTCATCACCACCATCATCGTCGCCATCATCGCCTTCATCTTCACCATCATCGCCTTCAGCTTCGGGACATCCCTCACACGTTTTGTGGCCCCATAAGGAGCTCCACCGAAGGCCCCAGTGGCGGCTTCCGCATGCGTCAGCGCCGCTTACTTCGGCACACCCCTCGCACGTTTCGCGGCCCTTCCATATGGAGCTCCACCGAATGCCCCCTTGGCAGGGTTCACATGCGTCGGCACACCCATGTCGGCGCACCCCTCACACGTTTCGCAGTCTCATAGGAAGCCCCACCGAAGGCTCCAGTGGCGGTGTCCACGTGCGTCCGCGCCACCCATGTCTGCGCACCCTCACACGCTTCGTGGCCCATATGGGACTCCACAGAAGGCCCCAGTGACGGTGTCCACGTGCGTCCGCGCCACCCATGTCGGCACGCCCTTCATACGCTTCGTGGCCCCTAAGGGAGCTCCACAGGCCCCGGTTGCGGTGTCCACATGCGTCCGCGCCACCCATGTTGGCACACCTCTCAAACGCTTCGTGGCCCCAAAGGGAGCTCCACCGAAGTCCTCAGTGGCCGTGTCCACATGCGTCCGCGCCATCCATTTCGGCACGCCCCTCACACGCTTCGCGGCCCTATATGGATCACCACCGAAAAAGATATTCACAATTGCGGTATTCACAATTGCATATGGTTGGGTTTTTCGCTAGAGTATTTCATGGTTGTTGATGATGCTGCTGGTGATGATGGTGCTGATGATGAGGATGATGAGGATTATGCTGATGATGCCGTTGCTGTTGCTGTTGCTGATGATGATGATGATGATGATGATGATGATGATGATGATGATGATGATGATGATGATGATGAGGATGATGATGATGAGGATAATGCTGTTGCTATTTCTTCTCCTTCTCCGTCTTCGAGCGAGAGCCCTGTTCAAAATTGGGGGGCGATGTCAAGAGAGGGGGTACGCTCGGGGGCGATGCATCGACCCCAATCGTCCATGGATCGCTGATGGGGGCTCGATAGCCCGCCCCGCCCAGGACCGCGCGGATCTGCTATCCTGGGCCCATCGCCGATCCATCGGCGGTGCATCGCCGTCTCCAGCTCGATGTTCCCCCCCCGCCCCCCCCCCCCGAGCCGGCCCCCCCCCTAACGCTGCCCCTCGCTGTCGGGTCCTTCATGCCGTGACGTCGCACGCGCCGCCTGCATCGCCGAGCCAGGCCTCCCTTGACGTCCTTGCTATCGCTCGGACTTGTGCATCTTTCCTCGGCGAGGACCATCGAGGAGCAACTTCGGATCATCTGGAGCCAAGTTGCCCCAACGTCGACACCAAATACAGATGCGCGAAGCGCAGCTGGCCCACAGAGCCGGCAGAGGCTTCCCGCCCCTCCAGGGGGCACCTCGTGAGAGTCGCCACTTTCTGAGGGGCCAGGGCGCCCGAGGCTGCATCCTCGTGGTGGTCGCCACTTTCCGAAGGGCGAGGGTACCCGAGGCACAACTGGCCAGCAGAGCCGGCAGACCTCCCTCCAGAGGGGCACCATCCTCGTGAGGGTCGCCACTTTTCGAGGGGTGAGGGCGCGCGTACCACAACTGGCCTACACAGCCGGCAGAGGGTTTCAGCCCTTCCAGAGTGGCACCATCCTCGTGAGGGTCGTCGCTTTCCGAGGGGCCAGGGCGCCCGACCCAAAACTGGCCCACAGAGCCGGCTGAGGGCTCCCCTCCAGGGGGGCGCCATCTTGTGAGGGTCGCCACTTTTCAAGGGGCCAGGGCGCCCGAACCACAAGTGGCTTACAGAGCCGGCACTCCAGAGGGGGACCATCTTGGTGAGGGTCGCCACTTCTCGAGGGGCCAGGGCGCCCGACCCAAAACTGGCCAGCAGAGCCTGCAGAGCGCTTCAGCCCCTCCGGAGGGGCACCATCCTCGTGAGGGTCATAACTTTTCGAGGGGCTAGGGCGCCCGATCTACAACTGACCTACCGAGCCGGCAGAGGGCTTCAGCCCCTCCAGAGGGGCGCCATCCTCGTGAGGGTCGCCACTTTTCGAGGGGCGAGGGCGCGCGTACCACAACTGGCCTACAGAGCCGGCAGAGGGTTTCAGCCCCTCCAGAGGGGCACCATCCTCGTGAGGGTTGTCTTTTTTTGAGGGGCCAGGGCGCCCGAACCACAACTGGCCCACAGAGCCGGCAGATGGTTTCAGCCCCTTCAGAGGGGCTTTATCTTTATGAGGGTCGCCGCTTGTCGAGGGGCCAGGGCGCCCGAACCACAGCTGGCCTACAGAGCCGGCAGAGGGTTTTTGCCCCTCCACAGGGGCACCACCCTTGTGAGGGTCACAACTTTTCGAGGGGCCAGGGCGTCCGAACCACAACTGACTGGGCCACTGAGCCAGCAGAGGGTTTCAGCCCCTCTGGAAGGGCATCATCCTCGTGAGAATCGCCACTTTTCGAGGGGCCAGGGCGCCCGAACCACAACTGGCCCACAGAGCCGGCAGTGGGCTTCAGTCCCTTTGGAGAGGCACCATCCTTGTGACGGTCGCCACTTTTCGAAGGGCCAGGGCGCCCGAACCACAACTGGCCCACAGAGCCTTCAGCCCCTCCAGAGTGTTTCAGCCTCTCCAGGGGCACCATCCTTGTGAGGGTCGCCACTTCTCGAGGGGCCAGGGCGCCCGAACCACAATTGGCCCACAGAGCCGGCAGAGTGCTTCAGCCCTTCCAGAGTGGCACCATCCTAGTGAGGGTCGTCGTTTTCCGAGGGGCCAGGGCGCCCGACCCAAAACTGGCCCACAGAGCCGGCAGCGGGCTTCAGCCCCTCCAGAGGGGCACCATCCTTGTGACGGTCGCCACTTCTCGAGGGGCCAGGGCGCCCGAACCACAACTGGCGCACAGAGCCGGCAGAGGGCTTCGCACCACACAACACGCAACACACACGACACACACAACACAACACAACACACAACACACAACACAGAGACACAGAGACACAGAGACACACAGGCACGCACATTACACACAACGCACAACACCACGCCCGGCCAGGCCGCGCCCTCGGGCGCCGCTGCCGCGCCCCGGGAGCCGCGGGCCGAGCGGGCGGCGCCCGCTGTGCTCGAGCCGCCGCCCGAGAGCGGGGGCGGCGAGTCGGCGGAGGGCGAGTCGGCGGACTGCTCGTCGTCCTCGGCCGTCAGCCCGCAGGCCCGAGGCTGGGGCTCGTCCCAGAGGGGGAGGGGCTCGTCCCAGAGGGGAGGAAGGGCACTCCTGCCGCTGCCCTCCCGTCGTTTTCGCTTTTTTGGGGGGCCTCCTGGGAGGCCCTCGTCGCCATCGCGGGATTCGCCTCGGATGTCTCGTCGGATCGAGAAACGTGTTTGAGATTTGCGCGCCGTCGTGAGCTGTTTCTGCGCCTTCGGCTGTCCAGGGCAGGGGCAGCCGCGGAAAGGCAGGAGAGGCCCCGCCCCCTCCAAACGGGAGATCGGAGTGGACGGGGTCGGAGCTTCGCACCGCATCTGCGATGCCTTGTGCGGCGACGATGCGGCGCGATCCAGAGCCCGATGTCGTCCGTCCCGACGTCGCGGATGCGTCCCCGGTCAATCGGCGACGCGGTGCGATCCTCCGACCCCATCTGCTCTCTGGCCTCGTGCGGGCGGCCCACAGCAAGAGCAGGTGGGGGGGGAGGGAGGGCGGCACCCGCGTGAGCGGAACTCGGGAGGGAAAAGACACAGACACCATCAATCGTCGATTCCCCCGAAAATATGGGAAACTATGGGAAGTGGGGGGGAAGAAGGCACAAACCCAGAAGACATGGGGAAAGATGGGGAATCCGGTCATTTGTGTGTATTCATTTGTGCGTCCCAGGGCCCCTTCAGGGAGGGAGGCACCCGCGGGAGCGGAACACCGACTCGGGCGAGCTGGCCCGAGGGCGCTCCGCGGTGCGCCAAGCGCCGAGGGCGAGTCGGCGGACTGCTCGCCGTCCTCGGCCCTCCGCCCGCGGGCCCGAGGCTGTGGCCTCGGCATCGCTCGGACGTTTTTTTTTTGTCCCTCTCTCTCGGCGAGGACCATCGGGGGCCATGCCGGAGCATCTTGCGAAGAATGGGCGCACGAATCCGAGGCACGCACGGGGAATGGACGTCTGGGCGATGGCGAGGGGCTCGTCTCAGAGGGGAGGAAGGGCACTCCTGCCGCTACCCTCCCCTCGTTTTCGCTCTTTTGGGGGGGCCCCCTGGGAGGCCCTCGTCGCCACCGCGGGATTCGCCTCGGATGTCTCGCCGGAGCGCGCCCCTGGAGAGGTCCGGGGAGGAGCGGTGTTGGTACCTTTTGGTTGCCCCGTTTTGATTTTGTTTCCCGCCGGGGGCGCAGGCCTCCCTGGATTCTGCGAGGCGGTGGAGTTTGCCTTATCGAAGACGCGTGGGGCGAAGCACCGCCGCCCCCCTGCTTTTTTTGAAGCGCCCATGTGGCCGAACGTCGTGGCCAGAGCTCGGCCACGCTATCGGACTATGTGTCTCCCCCGCCGTTGTGGAAACCCTTCGGGAAACACATGGGGGCGAAAGAAGAGGAGGGGAGG